CAACAACAACAACAACAACAAAGTCCCACTGAATTAAGCAGGGAAATCCACCAAAAAGGGTTTAAGCCCTGTAGCTTTCATTTGTGAATACAAACCCAAAATATGCTATAACATGGTATAGTATAGTTGGTCGCACAGTCAGCCAGATGTTTAGACTGGATTTGGCATTTTGGTCCACCTACTGAGTCCTTCCCAAGGACTCGGGATGGGCAGATGTGGTTGTCTGATGGGGTTAAAGGGATCGTTGCAGGATATAAGCTGTTCCAAGTAAAGCTGCCTTTTATAATAGACTGACGGTGATTTTGCCAATGCCGAGGGTCTTCAAGGGGTGCTCCAGATGTTTTGGGATGGCACCCAAGGCCCCTATTACTCCTTCTTCTTCTACTACTTCTACTTCTTCTTCTTCTTCTTCTTCGATAATATATAGAGAGAATATATATTATATAGAGAGAATATAACAGTATTTCTCAATGCTGGCTGGGGAATTCTGGGAGTTGAAGTCCACACCTCTTAAAGTCGCCAAGGTTGAGAAACCCTGGAATACAACATTTGAGCGAACAAGATAAGTTAAAGACTAATAGAAACCAATCGATATTATTATGCTTTGTTAGCATAATCATGTTTTATCATGTTTATTTGACTTGGATGACACGTGGTGCAAGGGGCTTTTTCAGAAGTTCAGAAAAGACTGAGCTGTGAGAAACCGACAGGACAGGAGGGCCACAACCTTTTGCAACATGTGGCGGGGAAGGGGGGGCTCAAATGCATTTGTTTGGCCTCCTGGGTGCAAAGGTCTTTGGTCGGATCTAGCAACATTTGTTTATGAAAGTCTTTGGTGGTGATAGCAACATGGCACTTCCATGCCCAGGGACAGTCTATCTGGATTGTTAATTGCTGAAGATAAATAAACCAGGAAGGTCAGGTTCTTACTTTGCGCTTCTTCTGATGGACTTCACCAAGGCACCTGGTTGGCTAAGAAGGGGTCTAGGAGGACCGTTTGTCTTCCTGAAAATGTGAAGGGTCTTTATGAGCATCATTGAATAAAATCCTCCATGTACAGGAGCAGTCTACTTGCAATGACTACCTGCTACGGATAAGAGTACTTTTGCCTTACTGCCCAGCTGGATTTGCAGATCATGGTTTAACCGTTTGCGTGTGAGAGAGAGTTTTGCAGAGGGGGCCAGGACAAGGCTTTGTTCTTGTAGCAAGGACCTGGTGTTTTGTTGGGAAGGAACCCGTTTTCCAAACATCCACCCCCGATGCCTGTCACGTTGAGCAACTCCACGCACCGACCTGCAAGGAGCACAAACACTTTGCCAAACAGGTTATGTTTCCCCTCTGCGTGCTCTCTCTCCCTCCCTCGCTCTCCCTGTGGTCAATTTTGTGCATACCTAAAATGTGCAATGCATGCTTCTAATCCTCGTGAGTGGTTTTGCATGCCACCCAGCACTCCCTGAGCTGGTCAAAGGCACCACTGCTGTCAGTTGGGTTGGGCTGATACAGATTGCGGTCCCCGCCCTGTCTTCACAGCACCTGGCCAGGTGAACACCTTGTCTACCTGGGTTGGGTACCATCTGTTGGAAGGCCTGATATGGATCGATTGCAGCATTGATCTGTTCCCAAGCATATCCACACCTTCCTGCACGCCTGAGGTTCATCGCCGGTCACACCCTGCAGCAGATCATCCACTGTTGCCTGCCCATGAAGAGGTGGAGAAGTGCTGTGGGTTTTTTTTGTTTCTTCAGAAGGTGTCAGGATGGGACCCTAAATAAATTAAATTTAAATTAATAAATTAAGGGTCCCATCCTGGATTAAATGAATGAATTAAGAAGAAGCAACTGTTTTCCAGCACTGAAAGAACCAGGGCAAAGTTTCTTAAAATATAATCTGGAGACCGGAGAAGGACGGCCCTGTGCATTCTCTGGAGTTACCAGGATGTTCCAGCGCTGGTATAAACTGCGGTTGATTAAAGAGTCCAACTTTCCTTCTCTGCCCCAAAGATCTGCAGGAAAGCAAAGTTATTCTCTAGACTGGTGTTTCTCAACCTTGGCAACTTCAAGATGTGTGGACTTCAACTCCCAGAATTCCCCAGCCAGCCACTTTAAGAGCACCATTGAGTGAAAGGCGCTAAGCTCATGTATGTATGTATGTATGTATGTTCCAGGCAATCTCAGTAGGTCTTAACAAACACAATGGGTTTTTAACACATTACTGTTGTAAGGTAATCTGACTCCCATGTAACATGTATCTGCATAACCAACCTGTTTTTCTCCCCTTTCCCCCCACCAGCCTCACCCCAATTTAAATCCTACTTTAGTCTAGCCACTCCATGCATCCAATGAAGTAAGCTGCAGCTCACGAAAGTTTCTGCCTTTTAATAAAATTTATGAGTTGGAAAAGGTGCTATCAGACTCCTGATGTTCTGCTAACATCAACTAACATGAGGCCTTGGAAAACGTATTCAAATGCCATGGTGGGTCTATACCTACAAAGATCAGAATCATGAAAGCCATGGGATTCCCTGTGACCCTCTATGGACTTTGAAGAAGCAGGATAGGAAGAGTATTGAAGCTTTTGAACCTTGGTGTTGGAAAAGATTCCTGAGAAGTCTATGGACAGCCAAGAAAACAAGCCACTGGATCATCGAATAAATTAACCTAGAGTTCAAATGGCCAGGCTCAAATTGTCCTACTTTGGACATATGACGCAAAGACCCAGCTCTCTAGAAAAGTCTCTGATGCTGGGAAAGGTGGAAGGAAAGGGAAGAAGCGGACAATCAGTAGCAGGGTGGATGGACTCAGTTATAGCAAGTCCTGAAGTTGGGCCAAGTTGGGCCAGATCATCCTGGAGAAGGTCTATCTATGTGGCCTCTAAGAATCGCCACCAATCTGATGGCAGATAATCAATCAATATGAATACCTCACTCTGTTGAGAAGTCTATAATGATTAGAAAGGTAGAAGGAAAGAGAAGAAGAGGACGACCAGCAGCAAGGTGGATGGACTCAGTTACAGAGGTGATGGGTACACTCTTGGGAAACCTGAAGGACCAGTTAAGGACAGATCATCATGGAGAAAATCTATCTACGTGGTCACTAAGAATTGACACCGATTTGATGGCACATAATCAAACCAGCATGGCTCTCCTCCTCCTATGTCTAGAAGACGTGGTCTTTGGCTATGGCAGTCCAAGACTCCAAAGACTTTCAGAACAGCTTCGTAAAGGAAAGTTAATGCTTCTTCGTTATGTCCAGTTGTGGCTTTAGTCACAAGGTGCAAGAGTTAATATTCTCACACAGTCGGTGAAAAGAAGCACGGGAGCAAAACTGAACATTAGAAAACCAGAGATAGAGGGAGGAGTTGAAGTCCACGCATCTTAAAGCTGCCAAGGTTGAGAAACACTGCTCTAAGGTTACAACACAATTTCCTTCTTTCCGGACCCTTTCTAATCCTCAAACCCATAAATCACAAGTTCATTTTTTTCTTTTTTCAGCAAAAAGTCCATAAAGGATTCCAGTCACTACTTTCTCTATATTATTGCATGTTATAGGAACCTCTTGACTGACCAAAGCCATGATGGGTTGCACAGAGGAGCTGGGAGTTGGGTGGCATATACATTTTAATAATAATAATAATAATAATAATAATAATAATAATAATAATAA